GGCGCCGCCCGGGGGGACCTGTCCACTCTCCACAGCCGTGCCTCTGGCCCCGACCCCTGCCTTTCCTGAGGACACAGATGCTAATGCCAGGGGTCGGTAGTGAGGGCCACAGTGGGAGAGGCCATGGGCGTGCAGGAGGCAGCCTGGCTGCAGAATCACATCTGCACCTGGGCTCTTGGCCTGGGTTTGGCTGTGGGTCAGGAATGGGCCTGGGAGCCGGGGTTCTTACCGGCTTCCTTCCTCCCAGCCCCACCTCCCTCCCCAGAGGTGCTGCTCAGCCTGGAGCAGGGCCAGGTTGCTTTGCTCACCTTCCGGAGCCACGCGGGGAGCTGTGCCACAGGCTCTGGGAAGGACCCTGGTGTCCTCTGCCCAGGAATGACCTGTGGCTTGAGTGCCACCCTTCCCCGCTCTGAGCAGCTGCGGCCAGAGGCCGGTACCTCCTGGGTGGGTGTTGACTCCAGCGTCAGCCGGACCTGGAGCGGACCTGGCTCGGAAGCCGGGCCTGAGGCTCAGGTGAGGTGAGCCGCCCAGGTCTTTATTGAAACGGTTCCTATTTTGCCCTTCAGGGATTTTAAAACTTTGATTGACAAAATATATTGTTTGTCTCGCCACCGTCCCAGCCCTGCTGTGGGACCCCCCCACAAACACCTTCTGACCCTCGGTCATCACCTGCTCCCTGTGAGGACTCAGGTGGGCCTGGGAGTGGCAATGCTGCTGTCCTAGTACAGCCACTGGCACAGCAGGGCCTGCTCCCTGGCAGGTTGGAGCGCCCAGGCTGGTCTCCCTAGCCGTCTGCCCCCGCCCCACACACACACCCCAGAGGTCAGCTCCCCCTTTGCCCAGGCCCTTCCAACCAAAACCAGTTTTCCACAAGGAGCGGGGAGTGGGTGGGTGATACAGGCCAGGCCTGGGTGCGGTATCGCTTTCTGCAAACAGATGGGTCGGACGAGGCTTTGGAGGATTTGTGGGCTTCAAGGTCATGCCGTTCTCAATCATTTTTGCTGGTTTGGCCCCAAACCCCATGGAGCTCCTGAAACCAGAGAGAGGCTATTCTTTTCCTCCGCCCTCCGCCCTCCCTCTCACGCACGCAGGCTGCCCCCCCTCCCAAACCCCCCGCACGCACACGCACACACGGTGCGCAGGCTGGCTGCTGGCAATGTCAGAATGGAGCTCCCAGGGAACCCGGCGCCCATCCATCTAAGTTCCCTCATAGATTGCTTCCCATCTGTGGACTCAAGCGTACAGGTCACCTGGGTAAAGAGCCAACCTAGTTTTTGTTTTAATTATTTTTTTAAAAAAATACACTTTTACTGATTTCAGAGAGGAAGTGAGAGGGAGGGAGAGATAGAAACATCAATGATGAGAGAGAGTCATGGATCGGCTGCCTCCTGCTCCCCTGCACTGGGGATCAAGCCTGCCACCCAGGCAGGTGCCCTGACCAGGAATTGAACCTTGACCTCCTCGTTCATAGGTGGACGCTCAGCCCCTGAGCCACGCTGGCTGGGCTTGTTTACATTCTTTTAATGAGTTCAAGCATCAAAGGTTTTCAGAGTAAAGAGAAAGGAAGCAAAAGGGCGGTTTGGCTCCAGGAGGAAAACGCAGGAGAAGGCGTGTGATGGGAAGCGCAGGCCAGGCTGGCTGGATGCAGGCCCACCGTGGCCCCCGAGCTGCTGGTCCGCCTGCTGCCAAGGAGACGTGCTTCCTCTGAACCCCGAATCTGTGGTCTCCAGACCAGCACCGGTTGGGGAGCTGGGATGGGTGGACCGAAACGCCAGGCCTTCTCTGTCGCGTCCGGGGACTCCCGGGACTGGCCTTGGCTCCTCGGCCCATGAGCAATGCTTTCTCGTCAGGCCCGGCCAGTCGCAGGAACTGCCTGCCTGGTTCTTTGCTACCATCGCTGCTAAAACCCTGCACAGCAGCCAGATTCCAGACCCCACCCCCTCGCTTTCTTCTTACCAAGAAAATTATTAATTATCTGGTTTTATGAGAGAGAGAGAGAGGCAGTGAGAGAATGAATGAGGTTTGGGCTTTGGTAGAAAGATCTGGAAATAGACGGGAGTCAGTGGGGGTTTCGGCATGAAAAGAAAGCTGACCTCCAGCCAAGAGGTCTGCTCCGCCCCCGTGGGCTGCGAAGCACCTGCAGGCTCTTCCTCTCTCGGGACTGCACGTCTCCCCAAGTCCCGTGCCCGAAGGCTCCCCGCAAGGCCCTTGCTGTTCCTCCTGCCCGCGCCAGCATGGGCACCGCCTCCCTCCCGCTGCAGAGGGGACTTCCAAGAATTTCAGGCCGACCACGTGACGGTCCAGACCAGCCCCCTCCACCGGGCCCCCCAGCTCACGGGGACAGTCCACACGGGCCTCTTTGTTTGGTTACATCTCTGATGGGCTGTTGCCAGGAAACCCAACCAAGTAAAATGTCCGCAAATGCCAATCAGCAGAGAAATGAGCAAAAAACAGGTGCAAGCCACACCGCCGGTGACGGCCGTCCCCACACGGCACTGGCCACAGTGGGACTGGGGACTCGGGATGGAGAACGAGGCTGGGCTCTCCCCGTGTCCGCCCATCTTTGAGAAATAGTCCGAGGGGCGGGCTCCGGGACATACAGGATGGCGGTCACTGGCCTGGGACGGCGAGTGGCCTAACTTGCTGACCAAACTCCCCTCCGTCCACCTCTCTCTTCCATCTGAGAAGGGGGAGGGCGACGCAGGGACGCTAACAGAAGACTCCCCCGGCCACGCCAGCAGAGGGACCCCAGTTGTGTGTGGGGGATCCCTCGGCCTGGTCAGCGCCAGTGAGGACCGGCTGCGGCAGAGGCGACAGGACACCTAAGAAGGTGGAGTGAGATGGAATCCGACCTGGGACTTTGTGCAGGTGCAAATAATTAATGAGGAAAGAGCCACGCGGGGGGAGGGGCGAGGCGGGAGGGAAGGGCCAGGTGCCTGGCGGCCGTGGGCTCGGGCCTGGCAGGGGGTGGCGCTG